AAATAAAATAGCAACATTTTTTCTGAGGAAAGAATGGTGGGAGAAATCCTAGGTAAATCAGTCCTGTGGCCCTACTGGAGCTGGACTCCCAGGACAAGCACATCACAGAAATAAAAGAATTCTGATGTGCAAATGTTGCAGAAGTGAGGCCAACTGCCACATATGGGAAACCATAAAGACATATTGTGATCTTAGTGTAAATTTTCCTGTCAGTTAAAATTTTCCAAAATTAGAGTTGCCTAAGAGGCAGTGAGGACAAGTTGCAAGATGGTAAAAGACGCTGAATGTTGGAAATGCAGGTGGATTCAATGGCTTTTGAGTTCCCTTCAACGCTGAAGTTATTAATATATGATTCAACTCTCAGTGAAGAGAAGCCAGAAGGATGTCCAGTGCTTAACAAGGAAGACACTTCCTACCAGGAATGTAGATACTCTTTCCCATGTAAGAGGATTATCACAGCAAAAAAAACGAGCATGCAGGTTGGATAATCCCGCTTGTTATCATCATCCTGTTTTCTCTATTCTATTTCCTTACTTTAAGATCTTACTTCAGTTTCCCATGTAGACCTTCTTGCAGGATGGAAAATACTCTGACTAGATATCTAGATTATTGTAGTTCACTTACCAGTTAGACTTCTCAGAGAAATGAATCCAACCCTCAATTTAATCAGTGTTTTCTGAGTTTGGTAATTTCAGACAAATCCCTCTCAGCCTAACCATGCTGGAATGCATAGTAGATTTGTACTTCTGATCTTAAAAATCAAGAACCAGCCTCTGAATTTTGGTAATCCAAAAATTAGTGTGCCTCCCTCCTGGATAAAGCAGCCACCTAAAAGCCACATATACTGGATGACAAGTTGGTTCTGTGTCAGTGTCTCCATTAACTTTAGTTTCAGTTCAGTTCAGTCTCTCAGTTGTGTCCAACTGTTTGCGACCCCACAGACTGCAGCATGCCAGGCCTCCCTGTCCATCACCAACTCCCGGAGTTTACTCAAACTCATGTCCATTGAGTCAGTGATGACATCCAACCATCTCATCCTCTCTCGTCCCCTTCTCTTCCTACCTTCAATCTTTCCCAGGATCAGGGTCTTTTCAAATGAGTCAGCTCTTTGCATCAGGTGGCCAAAGTACTGGAGATTCAGCTTCAGGATCAGTCCTTCCAATGAACACCCAGGATTGATCTCCTTTAGGATGGACTGGTTTGATCTTCTTGCAGTCCAAGGGACTCTCAAGAGTCTTCTCCAACACCATAGTTCAAAAGCATCAATTCTTCAGCACTCAGCTTTCTTTATAGTCCAACTCTCACATCCATACATGACCACTGGAAAAACCATAGCCTTGACTAGATGGGCCTTTGTTGGCAAAGTAATGTCTCTGCTTTTTAATATACTGTCTAGGTTGGTCATAACTTTTCTTCCAAGGAGAAAGTGTCTTTTAATTTCATGGCTGTAGTAACCATCTGCAGTGATTTTGGAGCCCCCCAAAAGTAAAGTCTGCCACTGTTTCCACTGTTTCCCCATCTATTTGACAAGAAGTGATGGGATTGGATGCCATGATCTTCGTTTTCTGAATGTTGAGCTTTAAGCCAACTTTTTCACTCTCCTCTTTCACTTTCATCAAGAGTCTCTTTAGTTCTTCTTTACTTTCTGCCATAAGGGTGGTGTCATCTGCATATCTGAGGTTATTGATATTTCTCCCAGCAATCTTGGTTCCAGCTTGTGCTTCCTCCAGCCCAACATTTCTCATGATGTACTCTGCATATAAGCTAAATAAGCAGGGTGACAATATACAGCCTTCACATACTCCTTTTCCCGTTTGGAACCAGTCTGTTGTTCCATGTCCAGTTCTAAGTGTTGCTTCCTGACCTGCATACAGATTTCTCAAGAGGCAGGTCAGATAGTCTGGTATTCCAGCATTACTAATAATGATAGCAGTAACAATGGAAAATGTAAAGTCACAAAGAGAACTATTGAGAACTTTTAACTTGATTTTTATTATTTGCTCCGTTAGAAGCACCAGGGAAGAACAAAAAGTAACATCCCTCTCACCAAAGTTAGCCAAGCCTTTGGGATCAGGGTCCAGAATCTCTGAGACTTTATGTGCTTCTGGTAAGCTATCAAGATATTTTGTGTGAGAAATGTGCATTTGCGCTCTTAATTTTGTGTGTGAGTTGAAAGGGGGGGAAATTGGATTTCCAAGGATTTGGAAATGGAACAAGAATTTATTTTTCTTTGGGGATAGAGAACTGAGCCTGTTCAGACCAGCCCCTCAGTAACAGCAGAACATTGAAAGGAGTGGCAGCCGAGAAGCTAACATAATCTGGGCACAAAGGCTTTTCCGGAAGCCTGCAAGAGGAGCCCTGAATTTTTCCAGAGGAAATGGAGCTACTGCAGTCACCCTCCATGGAAGGATCTCTAGTTCAGAGCATAGAGCTGAACAGGCAGACCTCTGGGTTGTAGGATGAGGCACTGGTACCCCAACAGCGGCATCGTGTGGTCACAAGGAGCAATAGCAACAGAGATATACAATCGGGGACACTGAGATGGTGTGAACCCTCTGGTATAACTGAGGATCTAAGGAAGGGGAGGAGCCCTAAAGTGACTGAAAACAGACTTCCCACCAATTTTAGCAGGTAGGGACTTGGACTTTTCTAACTGAATCCACAGAAATTAATTTAAAACATCACTGTTGAACTCTCATCCTAACATTCTCACTTAATTACACATCCTCTGCAATCATTATTTGTATCCTTACTGTTTTCTTCAGCTCCCATAATCAGGAGGCCCTTATAGTTCATAGGTTTACTTGTTTTTATCTGACTTGTAAGTTTGTTTTTTATCTGCTTCCTCCTACAAGAACTTAACTCCAGGAAAGCAGAGATTTTGTCTTTCTAGTATGCCACTATATCTCCAGCTTTTAAAATAGTGCCTGGCAGACAGAGTTCGATAAATATTTGTCTAATGTATGGAAAAATAAATTATATACCTGAAACTGTGTTCCAGGCACTGTGCTAGGCATTTACATCATTTAACCCTCACATCAGCCTTACAGGAGCTATCATTATCCCTTTTCATAGCTGAGGGAACTAAGAACCCAAACCATTAACCACTGAGCTCTATGCCCCTCACTATTCCTGTTTCCCATCCCTCTATTTACCTTTTCCAAGAACAGCCTCTACTTTTCCTCCTTCAGGTAAGGATGTGTCCCTTCCCCCTTTCCTCTCAAAATAACCTATGTATAACTATCACTGCACTTACATCAGTCACTATATGTTTATATCTCCTTAAACTCTGAGATCCTTGAAGGCCTCAGAAGAGATTGTCATCACGGTGTTCACAAGAGGTACTATAGGGTCTGGAACATAATAGGAACTCAAAATATTTTTATACAACAATGACTGAATGAATGGGTAGATGACCATGCTCCCATCCCAAGCCACCCCTTTCCCATTTTTTCTTCTGCTCATGAGAGCCTATTGTGCCCCAACCATAGCATTAGTATGGAAAATACTAAAATGAATAAAACAGTCTCTACTGCAAAGGAGCCACAGTCTAGTGGATTGGGGGGGGGGGGGGGGGAGTAGTAATGGCACACAATCACAATTAGTGCAGTTAGTACTGAAGTGTGCAAGTGGTGTTTGGGAGCAAGGAAGAGAAGCATCTGGCCCTAAAACAGGGTACCTTGATGACTTTTGTAGGAAAAGTAGAGGTGAGAGTGAGAGTACACAGCTCACCGTGATTCAATAGTAGAATGAAGGGAAGTAGCAAGAGGTAAGGCTACAAAAAGAGCAGGTACCAGCTCATGAAGGGGCTTGAAGGTAATATTCAAGAACTTGGATTTTATTCTGAAGCTGATGGAGAAGCACTGAAGGGTCTGAAGCGGGAGGGTGATATGATCAGATTAGCAGTTCATATAACAGTCAGATGAAAGACAAAGCCTAATATAGAGCAGCAACAATGGGTATTAACAAGAGAGAACAGGTCAGAGTTATCAATAGGATGGGGTAGGAGGATGGAAAGAGAGGAGGAGCCAGTGAAGACTCCCAGGTTTCTGTGTGGATGATGATGCCATCCCCTGGTTAAAAAACACAGGAGGAGGAGCAGCTTTGAATGATACATAGTAATAAGTGCTCAATAAATAGCTGTGGAATTGAACTTAATTAAAAGGTAGAAAACAGACTGCTTCTTTTGGACACATCTGGAGTTTGGATTCCTTTTCCAAATCATCTCAAGACCATGGTCTAGGGTGTACGTGGCTAATAGGAGAGGCCTGCCAGTGAGTGGTTTCTGGTTTTGTATTTTCCATGTGAGATCTTAGTTCCCTGATCAGGGATCGAACCATGATGCCCTGCATTGGGAACACAGAGCCTCAAACACTGAGCCAGCAGGGAAGTCCCAGGGGTAAGTATTAATGGAAGAATACCCAGAATGAGAAGAGGGCTAAAAACAGAGTCCTGGAGGACCCAACTTTTACTAGGTGGTAGAGGAAGAAGTGACGAAGAAGAAAACCACAAGTTGGCATTTGTTGAGCGCCTAAAAGCAAGGGACTGTACTAGATGCTGGGGGGGAAATGTCACACTTGTATGTCCCTACGAGGAAAGTGCTGAAGGAGCAAGTGGCCAGAAGGACACTTCTATGTGCCACTGGGGTAGAGCCCAGGAGTCAGGGGAAGTGAGAAATCACACAATGCTCTGCTTGAAACTGAAGTCACATTCCAGGTTCCCACAGTCTGTCTGATTTCTTGCACCACCTTTCCCCCACCCCTTCACATGGAGTCCGGATTAGGTGACATGACTTTTATTGATGGTGAGTGTAAACAGGTGTGAGTGGCTGCTCTTTTAGAGGACACAGGGTGCTGGGCTAGAGAAGCCGGGAAGGGAGGGCCAGCGCTGGGCTGTGGATGCAGGATTCACTCCTTATTTGGGCGGGAATGCTGCATTCTGAGAGAAAGATTTATTTGGGGACTAGCATTAGGCACAGGGGAGGCAGGCCGCACCAGCCATCAGGCCGCACTCTCTACTTGGAGCACAGCCGCCGCTTCGGCAGCCCCAGGTCTCTCGGGATCCTCCTCGGTGTCCTGCGAAGGTTCTGGCTCCAGCTTGGACTCCAGCGCAGGCTGGGCTTCCGGCTGGCCCTCAGCACTCCGGCCCGGCCCAAGGCGAGGTGGCTTAACAGGCGTGGGTGTTGGCGCGGTATGGCCTTTGCGGCCTGAAAGGGCCCTTCGCAGGCTCTGTACCTTCTCCAAGCCGCTGCGCCGCAGCCTCCGCGCCCTGGACTCCACCGGCTCCTCCTCGTCCGAGCTCTCCTCAGCTTCGGCTTCGGGCTGCTGTGGGCCAAGTTCAGCCTGGTCCGCCAGGCCTAAGGGCTCCGGCGCCTTCTGGAAGGCCTTGGCTGGGATTTCAGCCTCCTCCTGCAAGTGAAGGACACAGAACTGGCCCTGGCAGCCCTCTCTCTCGAGCCGCACCAGCCTGAGCCCCGCATCTGAGTTACACCAGGGAGACCCGCCCCACCCTCAGCCTCCGCAGCCCAGAGGGAAAAGGCTAGGCAGGCGTGGGAAAATAGGGAGCCGGTTGGAGGGAGGTGGGGACAACTAGGAGAGGCGAACTGTGCAGAAGTCTTCGGGACCGTTCAGGGCGTGAGACAGGATGGTGGCCTCAGGGGCAAGAACAGCAGGAGGCGGCGAACTGTCTCGGGGTGCACTTCCACCACCGTTACTTTCTTTTGGGGATGGGCTGGGACTTGGAGCAACTTCTGTGGACGTGACCTGAGCGAGAGCTGGGCGGCCGTCCATTGGCCAGGCTGCCTTCAGGGGTGTGAGGGAAGGCTGGGGCTGGGCTGTGGGAAGTGGGTGCGGCCCTGGAAGTGGGTTCCCCGAGAAGGGAAGAGGGTGGGGTCAGGAATGTGGGTGCGGCACGCGGATGGGAGGGGGAGCCCCAGAGGGTGGCCGGCAGGCGGGAAAAGGCCCCGGATCCGGGGACGCCTGAGGTCACTAACCTTGAAGAGCAGAACGTGGAGCTTCCCGCGCGCCACCAGCAGCCCGTGGTTGGCCTCCAGCCGCTGCACCTGGGCGGCGCGGCGCACGGTGCGCTCCTGGGCGGCATCCGCGTGCGAGCCCACGCGCTCCGCCTTGGCCAGGAGCTGCGCCAGCGTGTTGCTCGTGGTGTCGTGGCTGCGACTCAGCGCGCCCAGGTTGCTCTGGATGCGGCGCACGGAGCCCGCCAGGCCGCCCTGCCTCTGAGCCAGGCCCCCCTGCCGCTCGCGCAGCGTCTCCAGCATGGTGGCCAGCTTCTCCAGCAGGGTCACCACCGTGACGGCGTGCACCGGGCCCCCGGCCGGCGCTCCGGGCACAGGCCCCGACTCCAGAGCGCTCTCCCCCATGATCCCTGACAGCCCTGCCTGGCTCCCGCTGAAGCCGCCGGCTGCGTTCTGCGCTGGGGCCGCCTTCCCCGGCTCCTCCCCAGCTTCAGCCGTGACTCAGGCAGGCGGAGTTGGCCTTCCCCGGCGGCGGCGGGAGGGAGGGCAGAGGGCGGGATGTCAGCGGTGGGGTCCTTCGGAAGCGCGCCCCCTCTCTGCCGCCCTGCCCGGGGCCCCGCGGGGAAGCAGGTTGGCCTGGAATCCGCCCCACCCCGCCCGACTGACTCTCTCACGAGTTCGAGTTCCCTTCCTCCACTCCAATTCCCTGGTGTGCCTCTTTCTGGAAAGTACTCTCTCCCCAGTGCAAAGGGCAAGCCTTGGAAAATGTTGCTGTATGCATCGAGTGGGCAGAGAAACTATGTCAGCAAGGCAAATGTGTAACCAAAGGGCCTCTGCAGTCGCCTGCCCTCGGCCTCTAGCGCCTCGGAGGGCTGTGTTTGCACCCCTAGGCTCTTGGCTGTTTCGATACAGACCGAAGACTGGGCCCGAGGCCTCACTTTGGGACCCAGCAGGCCACGTAGACAGAGGAGTGGTGGAGTGGGTGGGGAGGCATCCTCTGGTATTTTCCTAGTAGTCATCACCAGGGTTTGGCCACAGGCCTCATTTCCTGCTTCTCTAGTTCGATGGGTAGCATTACCCTATTTTCTTTTTTCTAGGTCTCCTCCCTCGCTTTCTTTGAGCCCATGAGGGCCTAGCTCCTGCACCCCAAACTTGGAGGCCTGGCAGGACACCTCTTCCTATGAAACCTTTCAAAGGCTTAGAGTAGTTTCTGGTATTTATGCTTTTCTTCTCCTAGAGGTTGGTTGTTGGCTCCCACCTGATGTTTTTTTAAAATTTTCTCTGGAAATAGGTGGGAATGTCTGTTGAGAGTGAAGATTTTAAATTGCTGCCTGGAGATAGGAGAGAGTGAGCATAGAGGATCCAGTTAATGATGCCGGTGGTGAATTTGTTACCTCACCACTGTGGAAAACCCCATGCCTAGTCTCTAGTGATGCCTGGTAAACTGACAGGAGGCGCAGACGTCCAGGCAGTTCACTGATCGTAGAATCTCTGTCCTTCCTCTCCTCATCTGGTCTGTGAGGGTCACTTGATGACTATGACAGAAACTGTTACTCGGGATAGTTACATGAGCCTGCAAGGACTTGAGGTCTGGTTTACACAGGACAGCAGATGAGTGAAATTATTATTTCCAGAAATTCGGTGATGCTAAATTGGAGACCAAATTCTACGGATTCTCCATGGAGCCTGACCCTTCTGCTCCTTGGGAACCTGAGGGAGTCACCATGTCCTTCAGTGGATTTATATTTGCTCAGAGAGACACATCAGGATGTGCCAGTTAAGAATACTTTCAAATTAAGGGAACAGAGAACCCAATTTAAACAGTTTTTAAACTCAGGAAATCCAACCCAAACATAATTGAAAAAGACCATGGTGGATAGAGTGATGATTAAGTGTGGGTCAGTCATAGCTCTCTCAACTATGCCCTCCAGGTGTCAGCTGCGTTCCAGGCTGAGAGCAGGGTGGTTACAGCAGTTCCAGGCCTCCCATCTCTGCACAAAATTAAGAGAAAAGAGGAAACTGTCTTAAAATGTAGGATATTTATTTCCCAGAGCCCCTCAGAATTTTTTCAGTTGCTTTCCACTGAGTTAAATGGCGATTCCAGAACCAAAGTGTATGGCTATGTCTTGGTGGGCTTAAACCTGAATTCCTTAACCCATCATTGACAAGAGAGCTGATAATTACCTTCTGACAATTTAGGCCCACTTCTAGAGCAGAGTAGGGTCAGTTTCTCTAGGAGCATATGGGTGGTATGGGCAGAAAAGTGGTTTTCTATGTAAAAAATCTGAGTATTGCTGCAGATAGTCAATCAAAAATGTCTGCTATGGGAAGCCTATGAAAGAATCGCTATCCTCAAGGAATGGTACTAAAGAAATCAAGTGCATTTGGAAACAAGAACTATGTGTATAGATATTTTTCAAAGGCCTGCTGAATTCCCCTTTGGTTATGTAGAACAAAGAGGACCTTAAAATTTAGCAATATAGCCATTGATGATTTTGCTGGTGTCTCCAAAACTTCAAGCATAATAGCCATAGAAACTAGTAGAAACTAGTGGATTTTGGAAAATAGAAGCCCACAAGGTGCATAAAAATAACTTGGGGGCAACCCAGAAGAATGCCCTGAGTCAACAAAGCCCAGATTGATAGAAATTATAGTGGCATGGCCTTGATCACACAGTATCCAAGAAAAAGCTGTATTGCAGTTTCCAAGAAAGATAGAAGGAAAGAGAGCAGAATGATAAATCATACAGAATGATACCCTCTAAGGCAGTGCAACCTGATCTTAGTTAAAGATTTCTATTCCCTTAAGTCAGGGATGTGACTGGGATCCACTCCCTCCAACTCCTTGATCTGGGTGTGAAAAACAGAAACCAATTGGTGCAGGTTTATCATGTCCCCCCAAAAATGTAAGTTCAAGCCCTAACCTTTGATACCTGTGAATATGTTCTTATTGGGAAATGAGATCTTTGCAGATGTAATAAGATCATATTGTACTAAAGTAGGGTGGACCCTTAGTCCAACATGACTCTTGTCATTACAAGAAGGAAAGAGTCAGACACAGAAAACACCATATGACATTGGAGGCAGAGAGCAGGTCATGCTGCTGCAAGCCCAGGAATGCCTGAAGTGTCCAGGGGCTGAAAGAGGTGAGGAAGGATACTCCCCTAAAGCTTTGGAGGGAACATGGCCCTGCCAATACCTTGATTTCAGACTTTTAGCCTCAGTTTCCATTGTTTTAAGCCACAGTTTGTGGTAATTTGTTTTGATAACCCTAGGAGACTAACATACGCATTACGTGATCACCATCAGTATCACAGTAACCTCTTACCCAGGATGCGCCCCCACCCTCCTCCAAATGGCCACCCTGGTTAATTCTCTCAGAGTATAAAGTTCTCTGTAGGAAGAGTTAATAGAACCTGAGAACTCCTTGTAGAATGTAGACAATCAAACATTTGCCCAGATATAATGAGTCTTACAAATAGTAGAAGGCTCTGGTGCTTGAGTAAAGAAATACTTTAAAAAATTAAAACAAAGTATTGCCAGCCCTGCTTCTCAAGGGTTCCTTTTATACATTGGCCTGTCCCTTTCCCAGAACATACATTACTGAATACTCTGAGGATGGGTTGTCTTTATGTAAGAAAAAAAAAAATCCCTCTAGTTTCATGAGGGCTGGATCTGCCTGGAATGTATCTGCCTAGTGCAGATTGACTCAAGGGTGCCCCCCAACCACTGCCTGTATCTGCTGTGGTTACTTTTTTCTTGAGAGGAAACCCAAGGAAACTTCTGAAAGATCAGGTTACAGTACCTTAGATGGTATCATTCTGCAGCCTAGTTTTCTTTCTTCTCTCAGTGGCCAAATGCTCCACTGTATGATGCTGCAAAGATGCCCTGAAACGTAAGTGGCAGGGACACTACAGTTCTTAACATCATCCTTGAGGAGTTGGGGATGTGCAATCAGATCCGGGGACCAACCAGCCACAGGGCATCCAGCTGATGGATGGGGGCTTCCTGGAGCAGTAGTACTTAAGTCCATGACAGGTAGTGAAATGTGTGTGATACCTCCCATCACAGCAAAAAACAGCAGCTAATGGGAGTGTTTGAGCTTTAGAGTCTGAGTTAGGGCCACCCTGGAATTCTTAGACACTCCACATCTTGGGTTATCCAAAAGGCCACATACTTTGAATCAGGTGCAGAGGAGACTCAGTGACTGACCCTGGGCAAGTTGGATCAGCTCTACCCCTTGGAAAGTGGAGACTTGAGGTCTCTATGATTTCTGCCTCTCCCATCAAGATGATATGGGGAGAAATGAGAAGAATGGCAGATCCTAAAGGAAAAACATTTATGATTCTAAACTAAGGGAATGCTTCTAGCAGCTGAGAATTATACTGCTTTTGAAAGATAATTGCTGGCTTACTAGTAGATGTGAGTAGAGAGATTCACCAGAGGCTGCTAGATTATCTTGTTCATTGTCTCATGTAGCAATGCAGCCTAACAGTTTTTGATTATGGGATGCAAAAAAAAAATCTGGAAAAGGATGAGAAATGGTTGTGTGTTTATTGTACAAGGAATACCTTTGACCCTGAGCCTCACTTTCAGCTGCTAAACAGGGACATCTTCCAGGAACTTAACCTTTGAATCAAAAGTAACATCATGCATAGTAGTTTGTATCTGATAAGTAATAAAGAATTACTGTATAGCACAGGAAGGAAATTATATTCAGTATCTTATAATAATCTATAATGGGAAATAATCTGAAAAAAAAAAAAATATATATATATATAGAGAGAGAGAGAGACTTCCCAGTTGATGCAGGGGTAAAGAACCTGCCTGCCAATACAGGAAACATGGGTTCAATCCCTGGGTTGGGAAGATCCCTGGAGTAGGAAGTAGCAATCCACTCCAGTATTCTTGCCTGGAAAATTCCATGGACAGAGGAGCCTGGCAGGCTGCAGTCCTTGAGGTCACAAAGAGGTTGATAGGACTAACTGAGCACGCGCACACACATACACACACACAAAACTGAATCACTTTGCTGTACACCTAAAACTCACACAATGTTGTAAATCAATTGTGCTTCAATAAAAAAAGTAAAGTAATAACGTGCAGCACAAGCAGAACCACCCACTCAACAGGGAATGAGCCTCAGTGGACAGGCACTACCTTCCACCCTTTGTCACAGACATCCTGTCTACGGAAGGGGTAAGGCCATCGCACACAATGAGGGAGCTCTGTGCCGCTGGCAGTGAAAAGAGCTATAAGTTTGGAGCAACAGGAAATGAGAACCAGTACTCGCTCCAGAAATCAAAATAACCAAATGGATGGAAGATCCTGGAATGGTACGTTATGGCTAAGAGATTTGGGGATAGCTTTCATGACAAGAATCAAGTGGTTTGAATCCTTCAAACC